CTCACCGTCTTGCCCAGGCTGGTCTCAGACTCCTGGGCTCAAGTTATCCTCCCACTTTGGCTTCTCAAAGTGCTGGGATTACAGGTGTGAGCCGCCCTGCCTGGCCCTTTACCTGGTTTTATTGGGTTATTTGTTTTTTGTTGTTGAGTTGTAAGATTTTTTTGTATATTCCGGAAACTAGACCCCTATCTGTGGGTTGTCTTTTTGTTTTCCTGATGGTGTCGTTTTAAACACAAAAGTTGTCGGTTGATCTGTTTTACCTGAGTTCAATTTCTGTGTTTTATCTTCGGTTGTTTGTGCTTTTCCTGAGCTTGTTTTTTAAAAGCACTATCTGCCTGTGATTCCAGCACTTTGGGAGGCTGAGGCAGGAGGATCACTTGAGGACAGGCGGTTGAGACCAGGCTGGGCATCAAAGTCAGACCTTGACTCTACAAAAAGTTTAAAAATCAGCCAGGCATTGTGGTGAGCACCTGTGGTCCCAGCTGTGGTAAGCTGGAAGGATTGCTTGAGCCCAGGAGTTGAAGGCTGCAGTGAGCTGTGGTCGTGCCACTTTGCGGCAGCCTGCGTGACAGAGTGAGACCCGGCCTCAACAAACCCACCCCAGAAACCGTGATCTAATTCAGGGTCATAAAGATGTATACCTGTGTGTTTTTCTCTAAGAGTTTTATAGCTTTGGCTCTTACACTTGGTCCACTTTGAGCTAATGTTTCGTGTGGTGTGAGCAAGAGGTCTCCCTTCATTCTGTGCCTGTGGATAGTCAGCACCCCTTGCTGAAAAGCCTGTTCTTTCCCCGTTGAGTGGTCTGACGCCCTTGTTGAAGTCAGTTGTCCACAGGTGTGTGGGTTTATTTCCGGACTCCGAGTGGACCCTCTAGTCTCCATGCGGTCCTTATGACAGTGTCCCGCTGTCTCCGTCACTGTAGCTGTGAAGTTTCGAAATCAGGAAGTATGAATCTTCTAACTTTGTTATTCTTTTGTTAAGATTATTTTGACCCTGGATCAAACAATATAGGTCCCTTGTATTTCCCTGTGAATTGTAGGATCAGGTTGTCAATTTCTGCAAAAACGCCAGCTGGAATTGTGATGGGGATTGGATTGAGTTTTCAGGAAATCTGATGGGGATTGTATTGAGCTTTTCGGGGAGTATTGCTGTCCTAACCACATGAAGTCAGCCAGTCCGTGAGCACAGGATGGCTGTTCATTTATTCAGGCTGCCTTTAATTTCTTTTGCATTGTTTTACAGTTTTCAGAGTATCAGCTTTATATCTCTTTGGTTAAATTTATTGCTCAGT